CTCTTTCCCATTCCCCTCCCTCACTTTGCCCCTCATTCTGTGGCTCTCCTATCGATGAGCAACAACAACCTCCCCCTCTGGGACAATGTGGTCCTTCCACGAGGTAGTATCCCCTGCCCCAGTTCTAGCTCTGATAAGGTGAAAGACGCCCCAGGCACTCCCCAGGTGCCTCCTCCAGTTTCCCCAGGCTTCCCAGCAGAGAGGCCTTTCTCTGTCTCACCCCGATGCAATCCGCCTTCCTTACCCCAGGAAGAAGGCCTTTCCAGCTTATTTATCTGTTACGATGTTGACCTCCATGTACTTCTGAGAAGCTCTGTTTTTTCTTTTTCTTAAATAGCTTATTTATTTATTTCTTCCATGAGAGTGAAAACCAAAGAGAGACAGAGAACAACACATCCCCAGTGAAGACACCATGCCTCTCTCCACCTCTGGCCTCAGCCAGCTCCGGATTATGGATGTACACATGCCCAACCTGCACAGGGAGGCCCCGAGATGTGAACCCTGGACCTTCCCATGGGGGCTCAGTGTTCCGGAGCTTTACGTTATGACTTGATCCCTTTTTCTCTCCTTTTGACTTTTTCCATGTCACCTGCCACCCCAGACGTAACTCAGCTTAGAGCTCTGGGGTGAAGGACTGGCCTGGCCACACTGTAAACAAAGGATGAACAAAACCCAGAGATGCCATCAAAGCCACTTGGCTGGGACAAGGGCTACCTGCCTGGTCTCCTCAGGTCCCCTCTATCCTTGACCTCTTGTTCCCCTAGCTGCCTCCTGGTCCCAGGAGTCTTGATTCTTTTCTAAACTTTGAAGAGGTAACATCTAGGTAGGCTTGGGGGAACCCTCTCCCTTCCATCTCCAAAATTCATGGGTGTTTCTCGAGCCATGTTGGGCTCCCACCAGCGCCCCCTCTAAGGAGCCTCAAAGGCAAGGACCAGGCCAGCCATGCCGGTGCAGCAGTGATGCAAGGCTTTGCGGTGCTGGGCCCACGTGAAAGGTTCGGAGTTCACACCCTGGCCCTCTGTATGTGCCAAGTGGGTGTATATGCGCCTATAACCCAGGCTGGCGAGGCTAGGGGCAGATCTTGGTGTGAAGACTCTATTGAGGGTCTCTCTCTGCTTCTCTTTCTCAGGAGAAATAAACTTAAATATATATATACAAGGGCCAGTCTTGGTTCAAATGCTAACTTCTTCGGTGCTGCAGCATTCCGGAAACCTCCACTGCAGGGAGGACAACCTGCTTCTGCCTCTGGGAGATGAAGCCTCATGAGATCTGAGTTGTGGTGCTGTCCTGGCTCAACTTGGTCAGCCCCTCTGGGCCTCAGTTTCCCCACCTAGAAATCAAGAGCAAGGGTTGGACACATGGTCTCTGGTACCCCAAGACTGAGCCCACTGCTCCTGAGGGGCACCTTCCTGCCCTCCCGTCCCAGTCCCCTCTCCTGGTTTCTGCGACAGTGGCTGGCCCTGGGCAGGCCGCGTGGTTCGTGCGACAGTGGCTGCCACTGGCCAGGCCCGGAGTTGAGGGGGGCTGAGGAGGGCATGCTTCAGGACAAACAGACCATCAACGGGCCAGTTGCTGAAGGGGCGGGAGGGGAGGAGTCCTCGGGGATCCTGTTTCAACAAACGTTTCTTTCCGAGGAGGGAAAGGCGGGGGGAGAGGGGGAGAGGGACCTATTTAAAGCTACCCTGTTGCTTCGGCTGTCTCTGTCTGTCTGCCAGGGTCTCCGCTGTCCCAGACAGGCCGTGTGGGCTTGGGGGTCCTCCTGGTGGTCTCTCCAGCCTAGGTTCCTCAGTCACTGCCCCAAGATGGGCCGTGGGGTAAGTATCCCCAAAGAGCAGGGGTGGCTCTCTGGAGGGCCAGGGCCAGGGCCAGGGCTACAGGGAGAGGATGAGGTGGGAATGGGATGTGGAGGGAGAGGGAGCCAAAGCTGTCTGGGTGGGACAGTTTGAACTTGGGGCTGGCGGGCTCCAAACTGCCGAGGTGCCTGCAGGTCCCGGGCACTTGCTCTATTGCTCTCTGCTCCACCTGCCCCGCCCCTCCCGCAGCCTAGCACATGGGTCCTCCTGTCTCCCGCCACCCTTCCCCAGAGCAGCCCCCTCTCTCACCACATCTCCTCTCTCTCCGCTGACGCTGACGGGACTCTGGCAGTTGCTGTTCCTCGCCTTTGCTACCCCCGGAAAAATATCTATTCCTCTGAGGGTCTCAGCCGGAGAGAAGCTCCCCCCGCCCCCGCACTGAAGTTTGTGAGGGGCAGCGGAGCACCAGGAGGTTCCAGAACCAGCCCCAGGGCCCCTGAGTGCCAGGGACAGCTGGGAGGGGTGTGGACAGGAGGAGGATGTGCCCCCACCCCCACGCAGCACCCCTCCGGATGTCCCCAGCTGCATTGTCCACGGGCTGGGGCAGTGGGCTTTGAGGACTTTCCCAGAGGCTAGTGAGACCTGCCCCCTCCCTTCAGTCCACGCTGCCCATGGCATCCTGCAGCCAGGGCCACGCCAAGGGAAAGATTAACGACCAAGTGAGGGTGGGTGGGGACAGGCTTCGAATTCTTGGAAGTGAAATTCACATATGGAGAAAAGTGACCCAATCCCTCTCCACGCCGAGCCTGGCCGCTTTCCTTGGGTGGAATGCTGGCCAAAGGGGCACCAGGGGGAAAGGGCAGGGTGAGCAGCAGCGGGGTACGGTGGAGAGGATCTGGGCCCAGAGTCAGGCCGGGACGTGCCAGTGCACTGAGCTGAGCAGCTGGGAAAGCTCTGAGCCTGGACGCCGGGGTTCCTGGTGCGAGAGCTATAAATAGGACCCGAGTGTATGTGTGTACGTGTGAGTGTGTCCACGGCCACGTGCTCGCCGTAGGCTGGAGGTGCTGCAGACGTCCATAGATGAGCACCTGCAAGTATGTCTCAGAGGACACACATGTGAATGCACCGGGCTCCATGCCTACAGGCGTTACATCGCCACGGGGGGATGCGGGGTCTGTGGGGTGCTATCTGAGGTGTGGGTTTCGTGGAGGCAAAGGTCACAACCACGGGAAAGTTGCCACCTTGATGTCTCTGGCTCCGCCATAGAGAGGGAATCCTTGCGTGCAGGGCCTTTGCAGAGAGGCCAGGGCTGACTGGGTCAGGCGGGCCCTCCGCTCCACACTCAAGTGCAGGGGGGAGGAAGGAAGGCAGCCTCCACGCTACCCGTCTTGGAGCAAGGCACCCAGCTGAAGGGACCCAGCTCTGGAAGTGATTTGACCTTGACTTCTCCAGTCTGCCCTCCTCTGGCACCCCCTGAGTCTCCTCAATTCTACCCCCTAGTTGCTGGGAGTGCAGAATAGCAAGCTGAAGAGCAGATCCACGTTTGGGCTCAGAGGCTGGGTGAAGCTGGGTGCTTAAGGCCTGGAGCTTGGAGTTCAACCTACCAGGACACCCCAGGAGAGGAAACGCACTGCTACCACATCCCCTCCTGGGGTTCACTTCCCTCTCGCCCCTCTTCCCTGCATCTCTGCTCCAGAGCAAGGCCTCACTGTCTCCTGTCCCCCTGTGGCCATGAAGGGCATCGTGGGAGTTGGGGGGTGGGCGGTGGGCCGACCCTGGTGGGAGGGAGCCCAGCAGGCTCCAGCTGCCACAGAGAAGCTGGCGAGGGGGGGAGTGTCTGGCTGATTTCCAGCTGCCCCCACTCTGTCCCAGCCTCTGGCTTTCTCAAAAAGAACTCTCTGTTCTCCCTCAGCATTCAAGACCCAGAGAGGGGGACTTGTGGCTGGGGAAGAGAGAGGGGCAGAGTGAAGGGGGGGTGTTCCTTGCTTCCTCTCTTTCTTTCTTGCCCAGGCAGCCACTGGCCCCGAATCCGCAGGCTCCTGGCTGCAGAGCCTGTGATCCTTGCCAGGATAGGAGGAGGGGGAAGGGGCAGTGTGTCCCAAGCTCTGAGCGTGCGGGAGGACAGGCTGGGAGCTCGGAGTGAGGAGGCGCTGCTCGGAGCTGCTGAGCTCAGCCACACACCGAGGCCTGAAGTGCACGGGCCAGCAAGTTTTTAAAAAGCGTGCACTTGATTCTAATTTTCACAAACTGAATTTTACATCTGAATGTACAGACTGTCCTCTGGTCCCTGCTCTGCCGCCCAGCCCCAGCTCCCCTCCTCCATGCAGACCCCAGCCCTGCGCGGATCCCCAGAGCTCCTGGGGTCGCACTGAAGTGTGCTCAGCCTCATTGTTCGCCTCTGCTCTTCCGCCTTTTTCCAGCCCCAACCCACCAAGGACAGACTTAGGGAGCCCGGAACACCTGGATACATTGGATTAGAGGAGCCCTCCTAAGGAGCAGCTCACTAGAAAAGGGGGAGGTAGAACTCCTCACAAGCCCTGCCCCTTTCTTTCTGCTGGGCTGCTTCTAGCTCCCCAAGATAGTCAGCCTTCGGGAAGCCAAAAATACACTGGACGCATAGAGTTTGCAGATGGGGACGGATGCACCATTTCCCGGTCGCCTTTTCTGAGAAGTGGGCTTCTGAGAAGCAGCTTCCAGGAGCTCGGATCCTTGTAGTCATTAGAAACTCGGAACTGCCGCGTCTACATGCACTGCATCTGCCACCCCACCCTGGTTCCTGGGTCCACAGATCAGGCTTCTTCCTCTCAAGGGGTTAGATCTGACTTCTTACCATCAAAGCAGCCACCACGTTCCTGGGGTGGCTCCTGATGGGGGAAAGGGATGGGGGGAGGATTGTCCCAGAGCACAGAGAAGGCGGGGCGCCGAGACCTCTGTCGGACACCACAGTGGTGGGTGCAGGTCATTGAGCGCCTGTCCAAACCTGCAGAACGCACACCAAGAGTGAGTGCCAGCAGACCACGGTCACTGGGCGATGAAAGCATGTGACTGACTGCGACAGATGTCCTGCTCCGGGGCGGGTGTAGTCAGTGGGGACAACTGTCGCCGTGTGGTGGCAGACACGAGATGAGAACTTTGTGATCCTTGCCAGGATAGGAGGAGGGGGAAGGGGCAGTGTGTCCCAAGCTCTGAGCGTGCGGGAGGACAGGCTGGGAGCTCGGAGTGAGGAGGCGCTGCTCGGAGCTGCTGAGCTCAGCCACACACCGAGGCCTGAAGTGCACGGGCCAGCAAGTTTTTAAAAAGCGTGCACTTGATTCTAATTTTCACAAACTGAATTTTACATCTGAATGTACAGACTGTCCTCTGGTCCCTGCTCTGCCGCCCAGCCCCAGCTCCCCTCCTCCATGCAGACCCCAGCCCTGCGCGGATCCCCAGAGCTCCTGGGGTCGCACTGAAGTGTGCTCAGCCTCATTGTTCGCCTCTGCTCTTCCGCCTTTTTCCAGCCCCAACCCACCAAGGACAGACTTAGGGAGCCCGGAACACCTGGATACATTGGATTAGAGGAGCCCTCCTAAGGAGCAGCTCACTAGAAAAGGGGGAGGTAGAACTCCTCACAAGCCCTGCCCCTTTCTTTCTGCTGGGCTGCTTCTAGCTCCCCAAGATAGTCAGCCTTCGGGAAGCCAAAAATACACTGGACGCATAGAGTTTGCAGATGGGGACGGATGCACCATTTCCCGGTCGCCTTTTCTGAGAAGTGGGCTTCTGAGAAGCAGCTTCCAGGAGCTCGGATCCTTGTAGTCATTAGAAACTCGGAACTGCCGCGTCTACATGCACTGCATCTGCCACCCCACCCTGGTTCCTGGGTCCACAGATCAGGCTTCTTCCTCTCAAGGGGTTAGATCTGACTTCTTACCATCAAAGCAGCCACCACGTTCCTGGGGTGGCTCCTGATGGGGGAAAGGGATGGGGGGAGGATTGTCCCAGAGCACAGAGAAGGCGGGGCGCCGAGACCTCTGTCGGACACCACAGTGGTGGGTGCAGGTCATTGAGCGCCTGTCCAAACCTGCAGAACGCACACCAAGAGTGAGTGCCAGCAGACCACGGTCACTGGGCGATGAAAGCATGTGACTGACTGCGACAGATGTCCTGCTCCGGGGCGGGTGTAGTCAGTGGGGACAACTGTCGCCGTGTGGTGGCAGACACGAGATGAGAACTTTCTCTACCTTCCACTCAATTTTTCTGTGAACCAAAACATTGCTTCCAAAAAGTTAAGTCTATTTAAAAAGAAGAAGAAGAGGGCCAGGCAGTGGTATGGTGGTTAAGGCAGCTGTATCTCTGCAAGGCCGACTATGCAGTTCACGTCCTGAACCCGGGAGCTTAAAAAGCACCCAGACATACACGAGTATGTGTCTAGAATCCTAGGGGAGAATGGAGACTGCATTGCGACCATCCCCCTGTGGGTGCTCTCTCACTTTCTCTCTTTCTATCTCTCTCTCTTTCTCCAGTGAGTGCATGTGCCCTATTGCAAACTGGAAAAAAAAAAAAAAAAGCTAACACCTGGGCTGTTAATTTTACCCAGGTATTCACTTTTTACGAGGGAAAAAATATACCATAGACTAGAAAGGCCCATTTCTGAAAGCCAGCACAGCCTTTCAGGCCCAGTGGAGAAGCAGTCTGTGACCAGCACGTGGCCTGAGAGGGTGGGAGGTGAGGGCCTGGGAGGAAGTATGAGGCACGTGTCTTGCACCCTCGTCATGGCCACCCCAGGCCTCCCCCAACCCAGTCCCACCTTATTACCTCAAGGTGCCCTTCCCTTGGGAAGAGAAAGCCCTCTCCTTTCCTCCAGAAGTTCCCCGTGAGACCCTGGAAGCCTGGCAGAGGTGAGACCTCAGGCCCTGGAGAGGAGGAAGAAACAGGGGCTTCCTGAGGCTACAATGCAAACATCCATCTGGTTTCGCCAGACCACCCAGAAAGGCCTGGACCGAAGTTACACAGATTTCAGTTTTAGATTTACGCTCAGATACAATGCCTTTCACTTCCCTACAAATAGGGCCTAGCGTCCTCCTGACCCATTGCACCTCGGGCCACGGGGCTGTGACTCATCCTCTGTCAGGTAGCAGTAGGCCTGCCAGAAGGACGGAGAGCCCCCCTACACCCTGTGTCCCCTGCTCCTGGACACACTGTGGCCCACCAGCTATGGACTCCCCTGAGCCCATCTACCCAGCTCATTCCATTTCCACACTGCATCCCTGGACACGGTTCTCCACCAGACCTGTTCCTGACCCACTCCTGCTTTCCCAAATGCTCTTACTCTCCCAATTCCCAGCTGACTCTACTCACCTCCAAGGAGAAGAACCATGGTGTTGGGCAAAGGCATTCCTATACCCCCTCCAGCCCTGTCCACTCTCTTCCAGAATTCTCCTAAATAGTGTGGGATGGTGGTTTTCAAAATGTCTGCGTTTTGTTTTATATTTAGCAACTGCCCAAGTCCTGAATTCCAGTCCTGAGCCACCATTCCCCCTCAGCCTCCCTGAGTTGAACTGTGGAGCCCCAAGGCTCTGACAATGGTCTACAAACTGAGGGCCTCAGGTCCCCTGCACCCTGCAGCCCTGCTCCCCTCCCTCAGGAGTCGCTGCCTTTGGATCCACCCCCTCATACCTTGGCGTCCTGGTGGAGTAGAGGCCCCGGCCTCTGTCCTCCCTGACTCTCGGGGCTGTCCCTTCCTCCCGCAGGCCGGCCGTGAGTACTCCCCTGCTGCCACCACTGCGGAGAATGGGGGTGGCAAGAAGAAACAGAAGGAGAAGGAGCTGGATGAGCTGAAGAAGGAGGTGGCCATGGTGAGGCCCACAGCCCACCCAGCGGGGGTGGAGGAGGGACCCCCTGCAGGGAGAGCTGCCCTGGCAGCCGAGAGCATGCAGAGCCCTGTGCCCTGCCCTGCCCCACCCCTCGCCTCACCCCTGTGCTCCCAGCGCCCCCAACTCCTTCTAGACGCACGAGTCTCCTCCCCCAGAGTGAGCAGATTTCCCTTCCCCAGGACGACCACAAGCTGTCCTTGGATGAGCTGGGCCGCAAGTACCAAGTGGACCTGTCCAAGGTGAGCACAGGGCGGCGGGGGGTGGGCGGGGGCGCTCAAGAGGCACGGAGTTCCTGCAGCATCAGGTGGGAGGAGCCCTGTTTACTGATGAGGATGCTGAGACCCGGGCACCAGCGCCTTGCCCAAGGTCACGTGGCTCGCTGGCGGCAGAGCTAGAACAAGAATCAGGGTCCCCTGTCCGAAGCTCGTCCCCTGTATGTCCTGGAAACAGGCCCCAGGGGGCTGCCAGGCAGGCTTCTTCCTCTACCTCAAGCTACACGTGACATGGCAAGGTGACCCACTCCTGTTCTCATGGTGACTGGCTGGGCCTGCTGTGAGTATGGCACTGTGATAAACACCTGCTTTTCTCTAGTGCTTACGACCATCCACTGCCACGGTCCCGCAGACCTGGTAGCACGGTACGAGAGTAAGGGTGGGGGGACAGTAAGTGGCACAGTCAGATGGCTGAGCCCACTATTTAAAACCACAACAAAAAATTAATTAAAAAATTTAGTGAGTGAGGGGCCAGCAGGTGGTATAATGGTTAAGGCATTGGACCCCACACGACTGACCATATTTCAAGCCCCAGACCCAGCAGTTTAAAATTTACGCTAAGTACCTGTGTATCAGTGTGTGTGTGTGTGTGTGTGTCTGTGTGTGTGTGTGTGTGCGCGCGTGTGTGCCTGAAATCCCCAGAGGAGAATGGAAGAAAAGGGTTTGTCGTGTGGCCATCCCCCCTGGGGGGTGATTTCTCACTTTTCCACTCTCTGTCTCTCTCTGGCAAGTGCATGTGCCAAAACCTAACCCAAAAAATTTAGTGGGTGAAAACCTCCTCCTGCGAGCCTTCCCTGACTACTCTTTCTAAAACTCTATGTCCCAGTTTCTTTCTCCTGTTTTCTTCACAGCGCTTTTCTCTCTCTGGCATGAATGTGGGTTTGTTTATTCAGTGCCATCTCTCTAGACCAGAAGCTCCAGAAGGCAGGGACTTGTTGATCTTGTCCATCTCTGGGTCCCCACGGACAACAACAGTGTCTGGCATGTAGCAGGTGCTCCGTACACATTTATTAAACAAAGGAAGGAATGTTATAAAGATAAATAAGAGGTGATCCTTGCTTTCAAGGAGCTCAAGGTCTAGGAACAGAAAGAACAAACACAGAATCCCAGTGCAATATGGTGTGTGCAGCTCTGGAATCAAGCGTGGGGATCCAGAAAGGGGCATCTGAACCTGCAGGGTAGGACTGGGGAGCAGCCAGGCTCTCTGTGGAAAGAGACAAGTGATTGCTAAAATACCTGACATTGAAGCCAGTAGATGGTATAGTGGTTATGTTGCTGATTCCCACATGGCTGACAGCGGTTTGAGTCCTGGACCTGGTGGCTTGAAAATCATGCACATTACATGTGTGTGTGTGCCCAAGATCCCACGAGGGGAATGGAGGAGAAGGGATTGTGGCATGGCCCTCCCCTGGGGGGTGGGGGTTTACTTCCCCCTCACTGTCTCTGTCTCTTTCTCTCTCTCTGGTGAGTGCATGTGCCTTACAGCAAAACAAACAAACAAAAACCATAAAAACTAAAAAACAATGCCTGACACTGATGGTCCACAGTGTAGGACTCTTCTTGAGTCCTTAGTAAAAGGGTCTGTAAGAAGGGAAAGTTAGGTGTCTTTCCAGAGAGCTGCCTCCAAGGGAGATGCCATGGCCCTAACCAAAAGGGGTCTTGGTCCAATAATAACCAGCAGTGGAAGCACAGTGAGACTCCTCCTCAGCCTCTGAGCCCCTAAATCCTGTTGCAGATGCCTCCTCCTTTGCCTGGTCTCTCCTGATGGTCCCCACTCTTCTAACCAGATATTACTGCCCTGCTGAGGAGGGTGCAGGGCAGGATGTGGTAAGGTTGACCTGACTCCAGCCCGACTCTGTTCTCACACTGCTCTTGACTCTTCAGGGCCTCACCAACCAGCGAGCTCAAGACATTCTGGCTCGGGATGGGCCCAACGCCCTCACTCCGCCCCCCACAACCCCGGAGTGGGTCAAGTTCTGTCGTCAGCTGTTCGGAGGTTTCTCCATCTTGCTGTGGATTGGGGCTATCCTCTGCTTCCTGGCCTATGGCATCCAGGCGGCCATGGAGGATGAACCATCCAATGACAACGTGAGCTGACCCACCTTACCCTGGCCCAGCTGGTGGCTCTGTCCTCCCACCCGAACCTCCAATTCAGTGAGGAGAAGTGACCCTCACAGCACAGTTTGCAGTCCCTCCTGCACTCCAGGCTCTGTGCCTGTCTGTAAAGCATCCCTCCAACACATGCCAGCACTCAAACACTCGTTAATGGATGAGACAGCCCCTCCCTGCTCTTCCACTTTGGGGGCTTGTCTGGGCCTTCAGCACCTGGAGAAGTCCTAGCCCTGGGAATGCCCTAAGTCCTTCCTGGCCCCTTCCAGCCTTAGGAGAATGGGACTGGGAGATAGACGGGGATGTTAGGGAGAAGGGCCTGCCCTCACCATCCTCGCTCCTGGTCAGACAAAGGTCTGGGCTCTTGTGGCATAAAGTACTTATCCCAAGTGGAAGCTGCCCCTGTAGGATGGGACGAGGGCAGATTCCTCCAACCTTTTCTCCTCACCAGCTCTACCTGGGCGTGGTGCTGGCAGCTGTGGTCATCGTCACGGGCTGCTTCTCCTACTACCAGGAGGCCAAGAGCTCCAAGATCATGGATTCCTTCAAGAACATGGTGCCTCAGGTAGCCGGCGGGGCTGGGCTCGAGGCTGGTCAGGTTCCTGGCAGAGTCCAGCTCATCCCTCTCAAGCCCATGTCTCAGACCCCAGTTTCTGAGGTGGAGATGGGCTCCCACGCCGGGATCTAGCTTGGTCATTTAGGGCACAGGGGGTTCTCCTCCCCCTTGGCGAGGTCAGAGAAGAGGTGGGAGACCAGAGAGAAGGGAAGAAATAAACAAGTAGTCTTGAGATGCCCTTGACCTCTTGCAGCAAGCCCTCGTGATCCGAGAGGGAGAGAAGATGCAGATCAATGCAGAGGAGGTGGTGGTGGGCGACCTGGTGGAGGTGAAGGGTGGAGACCGCGTCCCTGCTGACCTCCGGATCATCTCTTCTCATGGCTGTAAGGTGAGGAGGTCACACCTGAGCAGGTGGTTGGGTCTGAGAGTCAGGCAGTATAGATCCAAGAGGGGTCCAATTACAGGTTTAAATGTGGAGAAATGCAGGTCCAAATGCCAACACCTGCCCCACACCTCCAGCTGAACCTCCTCCGAGTACGGGTTTGTGCCTTGCCTCCTTGTATCTGTGTGTTGTGTGTGCTCTGGGTATTCTCTTGTATCCCTTTCATGGCAGTCTCACACGGAGTGCCATGCTTCATCTATGGTCACATGTGTATCTATCTAATGTAACTCAGAGGACGGTGTCACTGTGTGGGACTACAGCACTGCACACCGGACGGTGTTAGGGCAATGCGGTAGTTCTGCAGTGTAGAGACTGTCTGCATTCCCCGTTTTAGATAAATAAACTGAGACTCTGGTGGTTAAAAAGTAGCCGGAAGTCACATATGAGGCCAGGAGGAGCCAGGATTCCAAACCGGAGCAGGGGCAATTGCTGAGTAATGCCATGCATATGTGATGAGGGCAAGTGTAATTCTGTCCCTCATGTCATGAAGATGGGCAGCTGCGTGCACACCAGCGTCCCTGCCAGTCAATGACTGCACACCCTTTCCTCCTCAGGTGGATAACTCGTCTCTGACAGGCGAGTCAGAGCCCCAAACCCGCTCCCCCGAGTTCACCCACGAGAACCCTCTGGAGACCCGCAATATCTGTTTCTTCTCTACCAACTGTGTTGAAGGTAAGATGCTAGCCTGCTGGGGGACTCCCCATCCTAGCCCAACCAGGACTTGGCAAAAATGCTGCTCTCCGGAGGAGGGAACCGAGGAATCAGGGAACCAAGGAATCAGGGAACGGAGGGATCAGCGAACCAAGACTATTACAGAAATGGCGCCCTCCGGAGAGCAGGGACTGGCTGAGAGCAGCATGACTCCATGAAAAGTTACCCACACAGGAAGATCTCTGTTCTGTTCACCCCAAGACTGAGTGGATTCCAAAGCCTTGAGATATTGGGTCAAGACCTCCCACACCTGAGCACACACACACACACACACACACACACACACACGCACACGCAACCCGAGCCCCAGGAATCTTTGGGCTTGACTGATGCTCTCCATGGCTCAGACTTCCCGACCAATTGCTTCCTTCTCCATCCTTTGCTTTGGCCAAAGTTTCAGGCTGGGGGAGGTTGGGGAAAGCTTTCAGGACAGGTGGACACCCTCCTCCAGCTGCCTTTAGCCTGTACTACTCTAAAAGAAAGTTGCCACCACGCCCAGGCTCCCCAACTTGCCCCAGCCCCATTCTGGGTTTGAGAGTTGACAGAGGTCCAAAGAATTCCCCAACCCGCCATTACTTATAGGCAGGAGGCCAAGCACAGCCGAAACCTCCCTGGTCAGGCTGGTGGGCTGAGTCAGCGGAGGTGCAGAGGGTAAGAGAAGGCGGGAGAAAGAGGCCGGGGTAGACTGCTGGCCTCTGAGAGCGGACCCAGGGGGGCCTATGTCCCAGGGCCATGCCTTTCCCTGCCCACCACTCGTCCTCAGTATGGTGTTCCTCTGCTCTCTCCCTTTTTTTTTGTCCTTCAGCAAGTCGACATTACAATAAAAATCACCACACGTTAAATTTCCTAAATGTTTAATGTACAAATATTCTAAAATCGACTCTACGTTTCCCACAGTCGATCTATTCAGAAAAGACTAATAAATCATCCTCATTGCCGACACTGCAATCACCTTTAAGAAGAAGAAGGGAATTTGTCGGGTACCTACCATGTGCCAGGCACTCATCTAGGTGTAGTATGATACTATCTCATTTTTTTAGAATTATCTATTCAATTTTATGCATATTTTTATTTATTTATTTTGTAAATTTACTATAGGGCAGGTATATTGACCAGAGAGAGACAGAGAAAGCAAGCTGCCAGATCCAGGACTCGATCCACGCTCAGCTACATGGGAGTCTAGCACCTTAACCACCATGCCATCTACTGGCCCCAGCACTATGTCATTTACTTATCAAAACAATCCATAGGTAGACATTCAAACAGCTCCAAACCCAGATTCAGCCGGCTCCAGTAAGCATGTTCTACCCACTAAACCACACGTCCTTCCCCAAGGAACTCTGTCCTGTCCAACCAGGGTTAGTAACAGCCCCGTTTCTTCTGTAGAGATTTATGCCTGACATTGAGAGGGGAGGGAATCTTACGACCACACAGAACATCCATAGTGACTGCTTCGCTTTGTGTTCACTTTTGGATGATAGCAAGTATGAAACTGATTTGGCTAAAGTACCACAGGCAATTTTTATTTTATGTATTGAATCTCCTCAGTTTGAACTTTGAGATTATTTGTAAGGTTTCTTCCCGGGACAAGCATAAGAGAAAATAATTTGCCGTCGCATTGAGTCTGAGACTGGCGGCCTATGCGGGGAGGAGGAGCCCAGTGAAGTACAATCACCTGAACGCGGGCTCCAGGATGAGTCTCCTCCAGGATGAGTCTCGGGCTGGCGTTCTCTGGGATGGTTCTCCTCGCCCAGTCCTGGCAGCCCCGAGGCACCTAGCCGGGTGTTCCCTCCTGTGTTGCAGGCACTGCCAGGGGCATCGTGATTGCCACGGGTGACCGGACGGTGATGGGCCGCATCGCCACTCTGGCCTCAGGCCTGGAGGTGGGGCGGACGCCCATAGCCATGGAGATCGAGCATTTCATCCAGCTGATCACCGGGGTGGCTGTGTTCCTGGGGGTCTCCTTCTTCGTGCTCTCCCTCATCCTGGGCTACAGCTGGCTGGAAGCCGTCATCTTTCTCATCGGCATCATTGTGGCCAACGTGCCTGAGGGGCTTCTGGCCACTGTCACTGTGAGTGGGTCGGGTTGTGGGGCCACCAGGGGAGGGTCCCATGCACGACGCTTTCTGTCAAATGGCAGACACAGTTTCTTACTGCTTCTCCGCATTCCCCCCCTCTGTCCCTTCAAATCCCATATCAGATGGCGTGCTCGGAGATCATTTAATACGTGGCTCCAAGTCTGACTGGCTAATCCCAGGCTGGGCTACACCCTGGCACTCGGTTTCTCTCCTGGAGCTTCATACCACCTGTTCTCACCCATGGGCTCCTCTTTCCCCTGCAGTCTGGGGCTCCTCCTGGCCAACTGTAAAAGGCTCCCTCAAAGGTCACCAGTGACTAACGAGCAAATCCAGTGACCTTTTCTCAGCTCTCATTCTAACTCTGCAGCTGAAATGGACACGGCTAACCCTCCTCCTAGGACTCTCTCCATCTCCCCCTGTGATGTGTCACTGTCACTGTTCCCTCCTCCTCTGTCCCCTGGGGCAGCTCCTCCTCCTCCCACACTGATTCTCAGGCCTCTGCTTTCTGCTCTTCTCCTGACACCCCAACGTGAGCTGGTCTCCTCCCATAGCTTTCAGGGCCCCTCTCGCACCCCTGCCCTGTCTCTAGAGCTCTCGCCAAACATCTTCAATCCCCTGCTGTGCATTTCCCTTTAATATGCACCCATGGCCTCAATTCAATGCATCTGGAATTGAAGGCATTCACTATTTACAGCTGGGCCCCACCCATTCATTTTGTGGAGCAGGATCGGGAGGAAGGATAAACCCATGCTCCAGGGTAAGGTCATGGGCAATTCAGCCTCCAAGCCGAACCTTTGTCCTTCTCCTCTCTCTCTACCAGGTGTGCCTGACCCTAACCGCCAAGCGCATGGCGCGGAAGAACTGCCTGGTGAAGAACCTGGAGGCGGTGGAGACGCTGGGCTCCACGTCCACCATCTGCTCGGACAAGACAGGCACCCTCACCCAGAACCGCATGACCGTTGCCCACATGTGGTTTGACAACCAGATCCATGAGGCTGACACCACCGAAGACCAGTCTGGTGAGTGGTACTCCAGAGAGTGAAAGGGATTGGAGGATGCCAAGGACACAGGTGTGTCGGGGCTGGCAGGGTGAGTAAGGGCTCTAATCTCTTCTCCCTCAATTCCTCCCAGGAGCCACTTTTGACAAACGATCCCCCACGTGGACAGCCCTGTCTCGGATCGCTGGCCTCTGCAACCGTGCCGTCTTCAAGGCTGGGCAGGAGAACATCTCTGTGTCTAAGGTGGGGGTCAGTGCCCATGGCAGGAGTGTTTTGGGGGTGTCTCCAACACCCCCTCGTTGATGCCCAGCTTCCTCTCTTACACTCCGCGGCTGCCTTGGGGACTTCAGAGCCCTCCTCCCCTGGTCCTTTACCTTCCTCTCTGGTTGTGACACTGAATTCCCTTGTCTTCCCACAGCGGGACACAGCCGGGGATGCCTCCGAATCAGCCCTGCTCAAGTGCATCGAACTGTCCTGCGGCTCAGTGAGGAAGATGAGGGACAGGAACCCCAAGGTGGCAGAGATTCCTTTCAACTCTACCAACAAGTACCAGGTCTGTTTGGGTTGCTGAGGCAACAGTATATATAGAGAGATTAAAAATGGGTGAGGCAGGCGGGGGGTGGGTCAGATGGTGGGGCAGTGATAAAATATGACACCCTCTGAGGCTGCACCATATGGGAAGGTTCCTGGTTCAAGGCTGGAGACCTCCCTGAGTAGGCCAGAAACATACACGCCCACGATCCTGGACTGTCTGAAGGCTGGGGTAGCTCTCGGTGTCAGGACTCTGCTGGGCTGCTCGTGCTTTCTCTCTCTCTTACTTTCTATCTCTTTTTCTCAAAGCTGGCCTGTGTCTCACTCATGGGAGAAATAAAGAAACTTTTTTAAAAACGGGTATGTGGGAGTGACAAAGGCAAGGGGGAACCATCAATATATGACAGGGGGATCTAGGATCATGCCCCTCCCCCACCTCACCCCCAGGACAACTGTATGACCACACATCTGATTGCAACGACTCCCTAACCCCCAGACCCTCACTCCATTCTGTAACCTTCACGCCCTCGACTCTTCTCAAAGCTCCCC